ACTCGACTTCTCTCTCTCTCTCTCTCTCTCTCTCTCTTGCTGTCAGTCAGTCAGTTACTTCTACTCTTCTACTCTTCTTCTACTTTAATTATCTTCTTCTTCTTCTTCTTCTATTTCTCTTCTTCAAGTCTTCTTCTCTTCTTCTTCTCTTCTTCTCTTCTTCTCTTCTTGCCCTTCCACCGGCCCGCCTCCGCTCGTCCGTGGCTGAAACCCAGTCAAGCAGCATAAAGAACAGCAGACGAGATACGAGAGGACTTTATTCTTCTTACTGTTACTCTATTACTGACTGTTACTGTTACTGTTACTTCTTCTACTGTTGCTGTTGCTGTTACTGTTGTTATTCCTGACTGAGATGAAGATGGCAGGACAAGGAGATATTACTCCTGAGATACAGAAGACAACAGCAACAACAACAACAACCAGAACAAGAGAAGAGAAGACGAAGACGAAGAAGACAACAAGAAGAGACGAAGAAGAGACCGCTAGTTGCTTCTCATCCCTGTCGCGGGACGTTGGATGGAGACATGGGCAAGCCTCGTGTCGCTCTAGCTCGAGAGTTACTTAGTTACATGCTTTAGTTAGTTACTTGCTAGTCGCTGGTTACTTTACTTACTGTATGTACATGCATGCGAGTTACTTGGTGGCCGCGATAGTCGGGGTGACCTTGACAGTAGAAGGAGAAGTAGAAGTAGAAGTAGATTAGATGAGATGAGATGAATGTTTAGGATAGACGAGATGAGATGATGGTGAAACCGGGAGAGTAGTTAGAAGAAGACGAAGACGAAGACGAAGAGAAGACGGAGAAGAAGATCAGGCAGGACTTGGTAACTAGTATATCTGAGACGAACGGCCGTCTTGGGTTATCATTTCTAAGATGGACATGGACATGCTAGTGACGGCAGGCTAGTTAGCGCCATTAACAGTAGAACAGAAGACAGAAGACAGTAGTACATGAGAAGAAGAAGAAGTAAAAAGTACATGGATACATGGATACATGGATAGTAAAAGACTAGAGGCGGCCGTGGAGTCGCAGGCGGTAGAGACAAGTGTACTCTCGCCGGCCCCAGTTGGACCTCGCGACGACGACCACCTTGCTGGTCGCAGGCAGATCGTGGACCGCCGATGCAGCAATGGTAAAACGCTGGATGTGATGGGCGGCATGGATGTCGTACTGCCAGCGGCCAAGACGGACGAACGATGGGCCCAGCGAGGGTTCGTGGGCGTAGGCGGACTCGGCTTCTCCAGGCCACACTGCCGCCAGAGCCGATCTCACTTCGTCATTGTTGACACTGTTTGTGTCAGTGAATTCTCCCCAGAGCTCCATCAGCTGAGGAGCGGCGGCCCCGTTGTCCAGGGTGGCCTCGCGCGGCATGTGCTCGATAATCACTTCTTCGGGGACGATGGGGCGGCCAAGCTCGACGGCGAGTTGGATCCTGTTCTCTTTCTTGGAAGTAGTAGTAGAAGTAGACGTGGTAGATGCACACCAGCAGTCGCCAATGTCGTCCCAGGGTTGCAGGGCAGAGACATGAGAAGGACCGGGACGGATGCCACCTGCAAGACGGCGGAGGCGGTCGAGGTAGCTCGTGGTAGACGATAAAGTAGGCGAGCTTAGGTAAGGGTCGACAGTGGCACCAAAGCCCAGAGAGAAGAAGTTGGGTCGACGCGGCTCCAGGGGGTTGACAGGACGTTTAGGAGGAGGAGGAGAAGTCGTTGCTTTGTTAACTTCCTGCTTGAGAAAGGAGATGTCCTTGGTGATAGAAGTCAGACGTTGGTCGACGGTGGCCATCATCTGGCTGATGCTCTCGGTGCAGTTGGCCATTCCATAGTGTCCAGATGGAGAGTAGATGATGGATCGGGCGGCAGAGGCGATCTCGTCGCGCAGGAGGTAGCCATTCAGTGCCATCATAATGCTAAGTAAGATGCAAACGACATGCATGAACCCGAAGTTGGTCACTCCAGAGGTAGATGTGGATGTGGGAGAAGTAGGAGCAGCAGCATTGTCAAGAGCGGATGGAGGACGGGATGAGGCCGGAGTGTGCTCTGACTGCGGAGTGTGGATGGCTGCAGGCTGGTCGGAGGGCGTCTCAGGACGCACAGAGGGAGAGGCCGTAGTAGCAGCATTGTTATTATTGTTATTATTATTGGTAATGGTGGTAAGACCGACTGGAGGGCCGATGGCAATGCCTCGCTCGATTCTCTCGGCGGTAGCGCGGCTTCTCTGAGGCTGTCCACGCAGCTGCTGGTAGTGGTGTTTCTGTAGAGATTGCTGCTGCCGTGGATGTTGCTGCTGCTGATACTGCTGCTGCGTAGTCTGGTGGATAGATGTGCTGCTGGCTTGAGATGGAGACATCTGAGGTCTCATAGAAGTAGGCCGAGGCCAGCCAGTCAGGCCAAACGCAGGTCGCTCGTTCGCTAGCAGATGGCGCTCCGTGTTCCAGCTGATGCTCGACCCGTCAATTGCATCTGCCAAAAGGTCCACTGGGTCGGACTGTTGCTGTTGCTCTTGCTGCTGCTGTTGTTGCTGCTGCTGGTCGTGGTCCTCTGGCTCCCCCGAGGCCTCTCTCAGCGAGCCCATCAGCTGGATGTCCGGCGTCATACGCCGGACGGGCTCCCTTGGCGGCGTCATGCTCTCGGCCCGCCGCTGCTGGCCCCGCGTCACCCGCTGCTTCTCGGGGCTCTTGCGTGCCTCGTCCTCGATCTGGTGGAAGCCCGCCGATTCGGTCAGTGGGCGGGCGGCTGGACGGGCTGGACGGGCTGGGCGGGTGATGGCGGCCTCGATGCTGGCCGCCACGTCGGCTGCCGTGTTGGCGGCAGGGAGAGAGCCGAGCGGGCGAGGCAGGGCGGGCGTCGCAGACCCTCCGTACGAGAAGGTCTGCTGCGTCTCGATGCTCGGCAGATATGGGTTATCTGCCTCGTTGGAGGCGCCGCCAGCAGCAGAGGGCGTCAGACGCCGCGTGCGTCTTGGTGGTGCCATTCTGTACTCGTCAGACTGGTGGTAAAAGTAGTAGAAGTGATAGAAGTGGTAGCAGTGATAGTAGAGATGCAATGGTAGAAGTGGTAGAAGTGGTAGCAGTGATAATACAAGTGATGGACGGACGGAGACCTACTTCAAGCCGTTCAATCTTAAGGGAGCAGGTGGCCCTTATATATATCCCCCCAGCCACCGACAGGAACACACGCCCACCACAGGACAAACGTCTCTGCTATTGACCGCGGGTATTCAACGTCGACTCTGGCCTGCGATCTAAGCCATTCATCAGGCCAGCCGCTGCCTGTCCCTGTCCTCCCAGCCCCCCTTACTATTGTCCGGTATGCCAACTCTGCAGAAACACAACACCAGGACACACTATCTCTGTCTCTTTTATTATTTAGAAGATGAAGACGACGAGTAAATTGTCTGTCCTGTCCTCTGGATGCGCGGGTATATTCAGTCTTGACTCGACTCGACTCTCTCTATCAAGTATCGTCCTCGATCAATAAGAGGTATAATAGTAGATCTTGCAAGACAAATCAGGCTATAGCAGACACCAGACACCAACACTGGACATGGATATCATCAACAGACAGTAGAAGCAGCAGAGACAGCCGGGGGTATCAATATCAGTTCAATCAGTTCAATCAGTTCAAGTCAAGTTCAATATCAAGTCACCAAAAAACTAGTTAAAACGAGATTTGACGCGCTCCCATGAAAGAGAAATAATAGAACAATAAAGACGCCAGGCCCGCACAATGCAAAAATGTCAACAACGTAAAAGAACAAGCTGCTTCTTTCTGGACTCGGCCTTTCAATGACGCAGTTTTTTACTCTTCACTCTCGCCTTCACTGCCTTTTTCTTCTTCTTCTTCTTCTTCTTTCTTCGCAGCCAAAAAGCGACGGCGGTTTTTTGTGTTGTTGTAATTACCTAATCAGGACTAGCGCGATGTTTTCGTGACAAGAAGACAGCCTTAAAGCAGCACGAGTTGACTTCTATTTTAGGCATTACTTATATACATTGCTTGTTGCCGCTTTAACAGAGGACCGTTTATTTATACATAAAAGTTTAAATAAAAAAAGGGGGACAAGATAGTGGTTATATATCAATCAAGCAGACAAGAGACAGCAGCGACGGCGAGGTTTGAGTGCTTGACTAGCACTTCCAGATGCCGATGGTGCCGTCCTTGCGTCCCTCGGTCAGATAGCCATCCTTGATGCGCACGCGCTCGACGATGCTGTGTGCTCGGCCGTCGTCCTCGGATGCTACCCCTGAGCCACAGTCCCAGTGTCGCCCGTCCGTCTTGTCGTACACCTTCACCACGTCCTCGCCCGCCGCAGCCACAATGCGTCGGGTGTCAAACATCATGCTTGTGACTGGCCGGTCGTACGCATACGCATCGTGGATGGTTCCCGTGCGAAGATCCCATATCTATCCAGATTAGTCTCACACACTACCATCTATAATAAAGAAACAAAAAAAAAAAAAAAAAAAGGAAGCAAAGAAAAGGGAGGAAAGAAAAGCATAAACTCACACGTATGCTCCGGTCCATACTGCCAGTGACTAGATGGACGTCGTCAAACTGCAAACATGTCACTGGCCCAGTGTGTCCGACTAGACTCCGATGCACCTGTCCACTACGCAGGTCCCACAGACGCACCATTCCGTCAGCCGTTCCACACGCCAGCGCCGCATCAAAACACTGCAAGGCACCGACAAAGTCTGCCGAAGCGTCCGGCAGACGACCCGTCGGCCGCCATGCTGCTGAATCGCCCGCCGCCATCGTCGACGACGCCTGTGCCGCGGCCCAGAGCACATCCAGCGTCTGCACGCATCGGCCCTTGACCAGATCCCACTGCCGCAGCGTCTTGTCCGCAGATCCGGATATCAGCGTGTCTCCGCGCAGGTGCAGGGCCGTCACCTCGTCGACGTGAGCTTCCAGACTGAACAGGGGACACTCGTCCATGCTCGATGGCGGAGGCGTGGGCGGTGCTGCAGCTGGGTCCTCGAAGCCTAGTGCATCCTCGTCGTCCTCCTCGTCCCTGTCGGCCCGGTGGTCGCGTGGTTCGTACTTGGCGCGACTAAGGTCCCACAACCGGATGGAAGCGTCCATCGAGCCGGTGGCCACGATGCTATCTTCCACCTGCAGGCACCGCACCGAGGCGTGGTGACCCTCCAGGAAGCCCATGCACCGCCCCAGGTTCAGGTCCCACACTCGCACTGTGTCATCCAGGGCGGCGCTGACCATCGTGCCAAAGGGGACATCGAAGTCCAGAGCGGCGATCATATCATTATGGGCCTGCAGTTCTCTTATCAGAGACCCAGGCTCAAAATGCTCGTGGAGAACCGGTGTCGACCGTTTTTCTATGTCCACAATGTAAGCTTCCGAGCAAAAAAAAATATCTAGTTAAACAAACGAATGGGGATACGCACTCGATGTTTTGTGTCTCCAGGCCTTGGGTGAAGGAATTTTCTCGTAGATAGACTCGGACATGAACGACGAATCACCTTCGCCGTCCCCGATCGGAGAACTGGGAATATCGCCCGTCTTGGGTGTAGCTGCCGTGGCCGCTGCCACAGACTCGTCCAGAGCGTCCTCCATGTCCTCCAGCCTGTTATCTAGTTGCACCACTGTCGACCGACCCTCTTCGTTAGCTTTACCGCCTTTCTTCCTCTTATTCTTTCTTTTATTCTAGACTTACATTCATGTTCCAAGTCAGCTTCGTCCATCTCCAGGCCAGCCAGACGGTCCAGCACAATCTTGCGCATCTTGTTCAGGTTCATAATCTTGTTGTCAATCTCGTGTATCTCTGCACTGCACATGTTCTTCCGCACCCCCATCATTTCCAGTCGATGGTTCAACGAGTCTCGTTCCCGCTTCAAATGGCCTATTGTAGGTGGCAGGGCACCTGTATTCCTATCTACATCCTCCAGCCGTTTCTGGCCATGTGAACTTCGCCTCCGATGAGACTTCCTGTGCTCGTTATCTGCATCGTGGATCGAGGCCTGAAACCCTTGGAACAGCGAGTATGTACTTGTATCCTCGGGGAGATGTTGTAGGAGGTCATCTGGTAGGGAAGAGAGAGCGCGGTACTGGATCTCCGACGTGGAAAACTTGGAGCGTACAAGCTCGGTAGGCGTCGTCTGCGCGAATGCAAACATCCTCCTCTGGGCTCCGGGTCTTCGCAGCTCTCGCTGGATGCCCGACAAGGCTGCCTGGTAGTGGACATTGGCGGTAGGATCAGTCGTGGTGCTCATAAGATGAGACGCCGTAGTCGTGACTTTGCGGCCAAACGCCTCCAGCTGGCGGGACTAGTTTATTCCCAAGTACCCTTTGTTAGCCACCTATCTAAACAAACACCTCGTCCTGGCGAAGAAAATACTCACAGTAAGCCCTGTTCCCAGCACAGAGCCTTCGTCGTCGCCCGTTCCGTAGTGAGAGGCGCCAGAGCCAGAGCGGCTCCGCGCTGCATTGCCGGCCATGATAGAGCAAGTAGGAGGAGGGTGGTGAAAGAGGCGGTCGAAACTGGGAGGTAGCTATGCAAGCCCGATCTCCAGCACTGTCTGTCTGTCTGTGTGCGTGTGTGTCTGTCTGTACGCAGCTAAGCAGCCATGTAGCCTCACGCTGCCTCTGTTCAACCGGCCATTGACTTGCAAGCTCTTCCTGCGGCTGGCTTGCGGGCTCGCTGGCGTTGTCGACTTTTTGCGTGTTTGGTAGAGGAGAAAAACGCTTGACGTTGGGATGTTTTTTATGGCGTTTTTTGTTTTCCAGGTTTGCAGCTTGGAAAAGGGCGCCAAGACTGTATTTATGGTTATATATTACGGTATTTTACGCTCTTGAGATGCCGAGGCGGCTTTACTCTATATACTCCCTATACTCCCTATACTTACTCTCTCTTCATCCTCTTCTCTTTCTCTTTTCTTTACTCTATAAGAATAAGAAGTATAGAGCAAGAAGTATAGAGAGAGAAGTACTCCGTATTATTACCTCTGGTAAGATTCTGTGTAAGGGAGTGTATGGCGCTAACCCAAAGTAAACTAGCTAGCTGCAGTCCATGCCGAGGTTTGGGACAAGAAGAAGACGGCGATGAAGATGAAGATGAAGATAAAAGAGATATAAAAAGAGACATAGAAGAGAAGGAGAAGACAGCTAGAGATATAGGAGGATGGCAGGGAGAGAAGAGAAGAGAAGAAGCCCGCTATACGGTCGTATAACTATCCGCTGCTACTCCCCAGGCACGCAGTCTATATACTTCCAGTCACAGCTGCAAGACATTCTATACGACCCCTGTAGATAACTAGCACCGCCATAGCAAAGTCCCTAGCAAACTGGCAGCCTGTAAGTACATAAGTAAAGCTCCTCTGCAGCATCCGTCGATTCAAGCCGGCCAGGAAGAGCCCTGCAGTGGCTTGCCAGTCAAGCCACCAACAAAAAGGAAATAAGAAGAATCGAGTCCTCTGGCCACTCTTGGTGCGCTTCACAGCCTGACTCACCAACAAAGATATAATAATCAGATAGCTAGTTAATCGCCGTCGACTGCTCTGCTTCTTCGTCCTCTACTTCGTCCTCTACTTCGTCTTCCTGTAGTCCGATGCGAGCTTCTCTCTGTCTGGCCTCCCTGGTCCTGCTACCCCTGTCGCTTTGCCTCCATATCCCAGCCGTAGGTTCTTCGGCCCGGAACCGAGATCGCGAGAGCTCTGGGATCTATAAAGCTTTTGAAGCTCGACTTGCGCCTGAGACGCCCGACGACAACGACAACAGCACCTGCGCCTGTAGCATGGACGCTTCCATCGATCTCTCGGACGCCTCCAAGGCGCTGGACCTGGAGAACATCCGCTTCCAGCTCATGTAGGTCATCTCTCTCTCTTCTTCTTTTTTTTTCTGGCCTCCCTGTGCAGCTTTTATAGCGGTTGACCTGACTCATATAGTCGCCTGGAGGATACTATCACCTTCCACCTTATCGAGAGAGTCCAGTTCCCGCTCAACAGACGGATATACATCCCCGGCGCCGTCAAGATCCCCGGCAGTGAGCTCAGTCTCATGGACTATGTCCTCAGCGAGCAGGAACGTCTCCAGTCCCGTGTCCGTCGCTACCAGTCACCCGATGAATACCCTTTCTTCCCCGACGTCGTTGAAATGCCCATCCTACAGCCTCTCCAATACCCCAAGATCCTGCACGAGAACGACGTCAATGTCAACGATGTGATCAAGTCACGCTACATCAACGAGATCCTGCCGTCGCTGTGCAAGTCCAGAGACAGGGGTGAAGCGCAGGAGAACTACGGCTCCTCGGCCACGAGCGACGTCAGCTGTCTGCAGGCACTCTCGCGAAGGATCCATTTTGGCAAATTCGTCGCAGAGTCGAAGTTCCTGGCCGAGACGGACAAGTTTGTCAAGTTGATCAAGGCCGGGGACAGGGATGGCATTGAAGAAGCCATCACCAACTCCAAGGTCGAGAAGATGGTGCTCGACCGGCTACGGCTAAAGGCAAAGACCTACGGCAGGGACCCGGCAAATCCGAGCGAGGGCAAGTCCAAGATCGACTTCGAGGCCGTCGTCTCCATGTACAAGGTGGGTAATGCTCCAGTGTCTCTCATTCGCATATACATACATGCCTGGCTAACAAGTTCTACAGTATAGCGTTATTCCAGTGACAAAGTTCGTCGAGGTGGAATATCTAATGCAGCGACTGAAAGGAACCGAGTGGGAAGACAAATAACTCGACCCCTTTTCTTTTCCTCACAGGGTAATAAGACATCTGAAATATAACCACGGGTTTTCCAGTTAAACGAAACGGCAGGCAATACTATGGGAGTACTACCGGCCGACTGTTTATTTAGGGCTACGACCACCTCTAATCACGAACAAAAAATTGAATAGACTTCTTTTAATACTTCGACTTTTTTTTTCTTTTATTGTATTACCATTCACGAAGATGGGTTCAGGAATTCCTTCAGGTTGGCCACGGCAGCCTCAAACTTGGACGCTTCTATCAAGATCATATGGCCCTGCGGATGGATTCCTAGCTCCTGGAACGCTCTCTTCGAGTCCGACTGTCCCTCCGTCTCATGGGTATAGTTATATCCCGTATAGCATAGGGCGTGCTTGTGCAGTACCTCGTCTTCGGGATGGAAGTAGAACGTCTCGGAGCCTTCGTTGCCGGCCTTTTTCTTCTTCTTCTGTGGCCGGTCGTCTTCCTGGTCCAGCTTCGACTCGACTTCTTGGTACGTTTTTGATATTATCAGATAATGCGTGAAGTTGTACGGCTCCTTCTCCTCAAGGGCCCATGCTATCTCCTCCAACAACATGGTGTACATCGGAGGAACCACTTGGGCCGGTACGTTTATCAGACGTTCAGTCAATATCAGCCCAATCTGGGGGATTTCCGGCTGGGAGAGCAGCTGGTTCAGTGTCGAGCAATCAGGGCTCGACGACTTGGTTCGGATATAGTCTGTTAATGTCTTGATTACAGGTACATCCTACATAGAAGCCCGGTCAGGAAACCAATCCCCAGTAAGCCTAAATTCACCTTAAATGTCACCTACCTTGTGTTGATGTAGATTGAGAACGGTAAGAAAAGCGTATGGATCCGTCTCATTCCCATCTACCTTCACTGTAGAACCCAGCAATGGCTGTGATAGAATCAGATCAGACAGCGCAGACAGGTCAAACAGCTGTGAGTCCGAGTCGAAGAGCTGGCGCAACAGCACCTTCAGGCCGTGGAAGTCCACCGCAGGCTGGGGATCGAACCATTCAAAGTCAACATTGATGATATCAAGATCCTATCCTATGCTATTAGTATATCTAGCCCGACTACAGCAGTCAATGGGTATATTTCCTTACCTCGTCGCTGCTGTCCTCCGCCGCGCCGTCCTTCATCTCAACATCCTTCACCTGCTTCCGTTTTCCCATTGCGACCAATAAGTATTCGACAGACACAACCAGCCAGTACTCCTTTAGATTCTTAGCTCCTTGCAAGCTTCTTCAAGCCAACCCCGTCCTTTTCTTCTCGTTTTGTTTGTAAAAAAATAATAATCAATAAATAAAATAGAGATTATAAAAATAAAAATAAAAATACAAAATAAAAAAAGATCCCAAGAATCCAGAGACGCTAAACCGCGATAGGAAACCACCCCACTGCTTATCTTATCGCTTGATCTTTTTTTTTTTTTTCTTTTCGCTTTTTCCGAATTATTTTTTTTTTTACTTCCTTTTTTTTTTTCTTCTCTTTCGCGGGGGATATCAAACTCCCGCCCACGGCGTCAATTGAAGTCTTCTCTTTTGTCTACAAATTATTCCTAGGGGGAGGTTCAATAATAGAAAGCCAGAATGTCTGCAGTTGAAGCTGCCAATGAGCCTCATAAGGCCTTTGACACCATTCTCGTCCTTGATTTTGGGTGAGTCACTCTGGGAATACCCCCCTCCAAAGTCGCATTGGAACTACAGGGCTGATACCGGGGATTATGCAGATCACAGTACTCTCATCTGATCACACGACGTCTCCGTGAGCTCAATATCTACTCGGAGCTTCTGCCATGCACCCAGAAGATTGCCGAGTTGTCCTGGAAGCCCACCGGAGTGATTCTCTCGGGCAGTCCGTACTCCGTATATGACCAGGACGCTCCCCACGTCGACCAGGCTGTCTTTGACCTGGGTGTCCCAATCCTCGGTATCTGCTATGGCCTACAGGAACTTGCGTGGCATCATGGTAAAAATGTTGCCGCCAGTGATAACAAGGAGTACGGGCACGCCTACCTGAACATCCAGAGGCATGGAGAAAAGGGTCAGGCCAATATCGACCGCTTGTTCCAGGGTCTGGAAGACAAGCTCGAGGTCTGGATGTCACACGGAGACAAGCTGTCTCAGCTTCCCGAGGGCTTTGAAATCATTGCCACGACATCCAACGCGCCCTATGCTGGTATTGCGCATCAGACGAAGCCGTACTTTGGCATTCAGTTCCACGCAGAGGTTACCCATACTCCCTGCGGAAAGCAGGTACTGGATAACTTTGCTGTCAAAATCTGCGGTGCTAAGCAGGAATGGACGATGGAGAAATTCGTCGACAAGGAGCTGGCGAGAATCCGTGCGATGGTCGGTGAACATGGCCAGGTCATCGGTGCTGTGAGCGGTGGAGTCGACTCTACCGTTGCTGCAAAGCTGATGAAAGAGGCCATCGGTGACCGTTTCCATGCCGTCCTTGTCGACAATGGTGTCATGAGACTCAACGAGGCTGAAATAGTCCGGGAAACCCTGACAAAGAACCTCGGAATCAACTTGACCGTCATTGATGCCAGTGAGAAATTCCTCGGCCGTCTAAAGGGTGTCGTTGACCCAGAGCAGAAGAGAAAGATCATTGGCAATACCTTTATCGAAATCTTCCAGGACACTGCAAAGACCCTTGTTGAAGAATCAGCTGGCTACAAGGAAGGTGATAAGATCGAATGGCTCCTCCAGGGAACCCTTTACCCGGATGTTATCGAGAGTATCTCTTTCAAGGGCCCCAGTGCCACCATCAAAACTCATCACAATGTCGGAGGATTACTCAAGGGAATGCACCTGAAGCTCATCGAGCCTCTCCGTGAACTGTTCAAGGATGAGGTTCGCAGTCTAGGAACAAACCTTGGAATTCCCGAAGACTTAGTATGGCGACACCCCTTCCCTGGACCCGGAATTGCCATCCGTATTCTTGGAGAGGTTACTCCCGACCAGATCCGTATTGCGCGCCACGCCGATTCGATTTTCATCGACGAAATAAAGGCTGCTGGTCTCTACCGCAATATCAGCCAGGCCTTTGCTGCCCTTCTACCAGTGAAAGCCGTCGGAGTTATGGGGGACAAGCGTACACACGAGCAAGTAATTGCCCTTCGTGCCGTTGAGACCACCGACTTTATGACTGCAGACTGGTATCCATTTGACGGGAACTTCCTGAAGAAAGTGAGCCGCAGGATCGTGAATGAGGTCAACGGCGTCTGCCGTGTACTTTATGATGTTACAAGCAAGCCCCCAGGCACTATTGAGATGGAGTAGACCCGGCGAGGCGTTTTGACTACTGGCGTTCTGTACCTCTGTTTTACACAAAACAGCCTCATTGCTTATCAGAGTTGGCTTCGTTGCTTTTCTGTTATAAAAAAAGAATATCCTCATATAACTACTTCCTATACTGCTAGTTATACATTTATTTCTTGCAATTTACCCCTTGTACACCCCTTTTTTTATACCAGTCCTGCAAGGCAGTCTTGCGAACCTCCTCGTACTACCAGGACTGTTTATAAGCCTTGTTTCTGCCGAATCCTCTCCTCATCCTCCCTCTTCAGCTCAGCATCTACCTGTGCACCGCGAGATGGCTTGTGGCCGTGCATCCGAGCCTGGAGTACCGTGAAGTTTCCATTAGAGCAAGCTTTCCAGCTATCTGAAACAGATATTTCCTGCTAGACTTACCGGAGCAGTAGGATCTATTTTCGCCAACTCGTCATCAGTGGGAGAGTGTTTCCCCCTTGACTTCTGTTCTTTCCCATGTGCACTTCCCCGTCTGTTGGAGTCAGGGGGGTTATCTCTGTTTCTGCGGGCATTTTCAACCTCGGACCGAGTGACATTGCGTTGCTCGTTGCTCTCATAGATGGTCCTAGTGCCGACGTTGGAGTTTCCAGCCATAATGAAGCACTTGTGAGTAGCGGTAAACGGATACTTCGCAATCAATATATTCTGTTGCAACTTATGTCCATGTCTTTCTCCTACTTCCCATCTATTTGTAACCCCCTTCAGCCTCAATAGAACCGGTGATGTCATAACCTTGGAACTCCAGGCTTGGGGGGTCGGTTTCCATAAGTAGTTACTCCACACGTGACAGCTATTTGCCGTCAACTTTGAACGTTTCAATGTAGAGAGCGATTTGGTAGCCCTTGTAGATATCGTGGTTAGGGGCTCAAGTAACACATTCTGCCCTTTTTTTTGCATTCAATAGCTATCTATATGTGTGCCTTTACCTATAACCATTCCATTCCTTGAGAGTAACTACTCTAGGTATTATTAGTGTTCCTACTTCGAAAACACATATGGCAACAAACGGTTGGTATCATCGTAGAATGTTGTAAACTTAATAAAGGAAATTCTATTAGGCATAGAGAAAGATATCCAAACTATACAGACTTCATCGCTTCAAACGCTCAACAAAACAACATGACAATCTAGTTAAAATAGATGGACAAAGTAAACAGAAAGAAACATGTAAAAGATCGCTAATTATCACAAGAACATAAGAAACCGCAGTATATGCAAGCAGCCCCTGTGTCTGAATGCCAGGGGAATATATCAATTTAGAATCAGTGCAGTGCTTAAGAAGGACGTGTATTTCGTCGAACCATTCGCCTGGCCATGCCGAGGGCCTTGAACCAGGAATTCTTTTCTACCTTGGCATTCGGTACAGAGTCATAGTCATCCTCGATTGAATTCTGAGACGACGAGGCCTCTATAGCCTTTTCTTTCTCCATTGACCGCTGAGAACATAAGGTAGCCATCTGTCCCAGCATAGTGGGGTGATCAATAAGGTCTTCCACACGCACTGTGAATCCCTCTTGCTCAAGCAGCCAGGCCACCTGTGCGAGGCCCATTATATCACCGTTGAGATCAAAGAAGGAAGATTCAAGGTTCAAGCTTGTTGTGTTCTCTTCTCCCAGGACTTGACGCCAGGCTCGGCTGAGAATATCGGAAAGAACTAGAATTTCAGCCTGGGTAAGGTCTTGCAGCTGAGAGGAAAGGAAATAGCTGTCATATGGCTTTTGAGTTTCGTCAATAGTTTGGGGTGGCATCCTTGATATCTGCTGAGGAGAAAGCAAGACCATGCTTGTGTCTGCCATGAAGTTGGAGATGGTATTGCAAAGCATGTTTAGGACCTTTTGTGCGAAAATGGGGGTAATTGAGCTGTTGAGTGAGAAGCCAAGTGCTATCTCACATTTATCACCCTCTTGTAGGCTCGATACAACGGAGAAATCGGAAAAGTCTTCCTCGGTTCCAACTGCTCCCATGGTGTAAGTGTTTCTTCCCAGAGTCATCTCACCAGTGACGCTAGCAAATTGATGCTGGACAACGGTGGTGAAGTTGGTCCAGTCTGGCCATTCTGTGCAATGCTTGGTAATCTCACGGAATCCGAGAGCTTCGTATGACATGTTGCGGACTTGCTGGTCCTGAACAAAACGCAGGAGGTCAAGTGCTGTCCATCGTTCGTTGAACTGTACTCTGACGGGGATGATGTTAAGACAGGGACCGACTGTACTCTCGACTCCGGGAACCGTGGTATTACGACCGCTGATTGTGTGACCAAATACAACGTCGGGACTTCCTGAAAGTTGTGCTAGTACCATTGCCCACGCTGCTTTGATCACTGTAGCGGTGGTAATATTTCCGTGGGCGATGGCAGGCAGTAGGACCGTTTGTTTTAGTTGACTAGTGGCACCTGCTGATCGTCGGTAGTTCGGTCCCTCTCGTCGGACGATTTCTGTCATCTTGGAGCCTTTGAGGAGCGTCTTCCAGTGCTGATAGTGATCCGATGTTATGGTTGAAGCAGAAGACCGAACATAACTGGCAAACGAAGACATCACAGGAAGCGGTTCATCGTCATAGCCAGCTTGAATTGCGCTAAAGATCTTTGATATGCAGACTCCATCATATTGAGCATGGGATAATCTCATAATGATCCGGTGATGGTTGCTATCTTTTTCTTTGACCACAGTGAAGTTAACAAACGCTTCACCAAGGCGAGGGCCTTGCTCACGATCTCGCTGTTGCAACATTGCGACAAACTCATCAAGGTTGGACTCGGTTTCATAGACGAAGAAATCAGGGCGCATTTTGCGGAGAACGACCTGGAGGAAGCGGTCACCACTGGGCAAGAACACCGTACGGAGGATATCAACCGAGTGGACAAGGCGAATAAAGCTTCTCTTGAGCCTTCGAAGATCCAAGACTCCGTGTCCATCAAGATAAAAGTAGTTGAGCATCCATCTCGATTCTAGGAGAGAGCCAGTGATGGCAAGGGCCTGGAAATCGGTCACAGGGAGGACATCTACCATACCTCCCTTGAAGACACCGACCTTCGGAATAATGTTGTTCTGAAGGAAGGCATCGATGTTGGGAGCCTTGACTAGAGAGAATCTTTGGTAGAGTTCACTCGTGGCTGCTGATCGAATGGCCTGGCTTTGGGCATTGAAGTCATCCATATCAGCACCATCAACGTAGGTGTTCATCATGCTAGCCACACGAATCACAGCAACCATATCCTCGAATACAGGGTTTCGGAATACATCGGCTACTGTGAGTGACAGGCCTTCATCTCGTGCAGCTCCTACAAGTCTCATGGCTGTGAGACTGTCTCCTCCTAACTCGAAGAAACTGTCTTCTCCTGAAATTGAATCTTCATCCATTTCTAACATGGAGCTCCAGAGTACCAGGAGCTTCTTCTCAATGTGAGCTGACCTTCCTCTCTTGTTAATATGGGCTGCCATCGATGTCCGGTCTGTGTCAGTCTTGGGGTTGTAGTCTGATTGCTCCCAGGCTTCAGAGGGGGTGGCAGTCTCGGGTTCCATGCCCTTGATGGACTCGGAATGAAGGGTTTGCTCAGTGCTCATGGCTTTGTTGTTATCGCCAATGTCTCGACGGGAATTATTCAGCAAAATCTCATCAGCACTCTTGGTGGCAAGCTGTCCTGATTTGGCCATTTTCTGTAGTATATCTTGGACGCAGGAATCAACAATCTTTCGTAATTCAGCATTGTTGTTAAGCAATTGTTCCGTGCTAAGGTTCCCGGTAGACATTTGAGCAAGATTGGACTCAAGGTCGGCCTGCTTTGGTTCTTCTCGAGTACGTTGGGGAAGCTCCTCGCGCAGTATTGAACCTGTCGTCTTCGTTGGGTCATACTCGGAAAGGAGCTGCTCAGGGCGAGTGATGAAAGATGTTAATACGTGGGCCATGCTTGCGGCCATCTTCTGAGCTTCAGCCTCGCTAACCATATTGTCCCAGTATCGGAGAAGGACGCCTTCATCACCCTTAGCAGTCTCAACGTTGACGGTTATAGCATACTATAATTCAGTTAGTTATTATAAATAGACAAGAAATTTGGAAGACCAAAGAAAAAACCTACCTCACTTGGATCATGTCCACCCAAAGGCTCGAAGAGGATGCCTTCTTCAACAGCATCACTGGATTTTGCATGATTCTGGGAAGAGATGGCCGTATTATACAAAGGCTTGCCTGCAAGTCCTAGTTCATGTTGAACTTCGGCAAGGGAACATCTCTGATATGGCAAGCTGTCAAGATAATCTTCCTGCACTTTGCGGAAAATTTCATGGAATGATGCTCCTGGGGAGAAGACAACACGGCAACAGAGCATGTTGATGAATGCTCCAATTGTCTCCTGAATACCATTGACAGGGGCGTCACGGCCGGCGGATAGATACCCGAAGCACACATCGTCCGACCCAACATATGCCCGTAGGACGACCGCCCAAGCGGCATGCATAACATTGGACATAGTGACCTTCTGCTGCTCACACATAGTTTGAAGTTCTGGGTAACGTTCAAACTTGACAAAGGTTGTACGCAACTGTTTCTGTGTCCCCGAGAAGGAGCTGAGCCGTGGGAGGTAACAAGGCTTCAGACCTCCAAGATAATTTTTCCAGAATTTGATTTCACCGGCTGTCGATTGGCTTCGAATGAATCGAATGTAGTCGCTGTACAGTGGGCCTTGGCCGGTTGGAAGTCGGTCCTCGTACGCGGCAGCTAAGTCTGCCATCAAGATAGATACGGAACCGCCATCAATAACAGCATGATTGATTTCCATCTTGATTATGACGCCACCATCAGACTTCGAGCAAATGGTAATCTGATGGGGTAGCTGTGGACGTTTCTTGCCATTATTATCTTTTAGCCTGATTGCCTTCATCTTATCCATTGCGTTTGAACTGTCAGATGAGATGTGGATAGTGCCACTGTTAACTTCCTTAACAACCAGCTGGCAGAAGGTAACCCCTCGGCACGGGCTGTCAATGAAAACCGTACGTAGCGCAGCATGACGATCAACAACCTGTTGCCAGGCTCGGCCGAGTTTCTGCGCATCAATCCTCTTCGACCCCTTTGCAGAGGTAACTTCGAAGCTGGTGTGGAAGACGTAGCTGTCAGGGTCTCTCAACTGACTTAGCAGGATACCTTCTTGGATAGGAGAACATGGGTAGATATCCTCGACCTGATCACGGCTGCAAACACCAGCTCTTGGGAAGGTCGACTTGGAGAGTTTCTGAAGCGCTTCGTATGATATCGGCAAAAGAGGATAGTCGCTGAGGGTTGGTTCTGGGGCACTATGGCTCATGGCATCAACAGTCTCACGTAGAGTTTGCTTACACTCTGAGATCCATCGACGGATGCGCTGTACTTGTCTCATATTCTTGTTAAACATGAATGTGAAGCGGATTTGATCCTGGAGCACGATAGCGGATATCTCGAATAGGGCAAACCGAATAGTTCTTGGGCCCATGTCACCAGTGCTCTTTGCCTCATTCTCATCCGTAATTAGGTCTGCCTGCTGCAAAAGAGAGTCATCACGTTCAAGCTGTTGCATGCGACCAAGGTAATTGACTACGATTTCCATAGGGAAAGTATCATCATGCTGAGAAGCATGCATCGTTGAATACCTGTTGGCAAAGTAGAGTCGTCCGTTGTCTGGGATCTGGCGTCTAATATCTTTGGCACGCTTGAGGGTATCCAATACATCATCCTTTCCGTTTTCTAATTTCACAAATTTAGTAAAGTTTTCTTCAAGAAAGTGACTCCCTAATAGGGGAAACTTACGCATATCCACCGGTATTGTTGCCGGGCAAATGCTGGTGAACCAGCCAACAGTCCTGGATAGGTCCGGACCTCCTTGCCATGAATCACGACCATGGCCTTCATTGTATAGCGTAGGGACCTCTCGATCTTGGAATACCCTCGCAAATGAGTGGGCGATCGCAGTAAGGAATAGATCTATTGGCTCCGTCTGGAACGCTTTGTGGCTATCGCCCAAGGCAAGGCTGGAAGTAGCCTTATCTAGCTGGAAAGTTTCGTATTCGGCATCATGATAGGTGTTTTGCCTACCTTCCATTCCCCAGTATGACAGGTTTGAAGGCTTCACATCAAACGGAAGAAGTGAGCTGGTGTTGTGAGCCTTCAAATGGGAGGTTTGAGCTGAGCACCATGACTGGAATGAGAGTGGCTTGTCAGTGTCGAGAGATTGGGTTCCTATAAACTCCTCTAGATCCTGGAGGATGATACGCCAGGACACCATGTCGACGCAAACGTGGTGGGCAGCCATAAAAATAAACTGTTCTCCATTCTGTGTGTTGAGTAGTTCAGCAGCCAGTATTGGGCCCTGTTCAATGTCTAGGCACATTTGCGCGTCTTTGATAATACGAGGAATATCATATTTCCTTGCGTTATCATGAGCTCGGCAGCGGAAAGAGGCATTGGTATCCTAAGAAGCTGTTAACTACACCACCTGCACAAATATAGGGGTTGTTGGAGCATACCTTGGTGATCTTCTGGCGCCAGCTGTTTCCATCACGCACGAACCTAGCTCGGAGCATTGAGTGCTTGTTAACTATGGCTTCAATGGCAAGCGTTACCGTGCGAGCATCCGTCGGCTTGGTAATTCGGAGAGTGAAGCTCTGGTTGAACCGGGAGTCTCCATCCTGGGACTGAGACGATCGGAAATACAACTGTTGGACAGGAGATAAGTCGAATAGCTCGTCTACAACCTCCTCCTTCTGAGGGCCGGACACCGTATGTCCGACGCAGTTGGCAAGGTGAACAACCGACTTGCTACGCAAGACATCATGAAGAGACAGCTCAATATTTTCTTTGCGACATCGGGACATGACACCCATAGCGGTGATACTATCACCTCCTATACGAGAGTTAGATGTGATTTTGACAGGTCAAGTATTAACTACTAGTGGCTTACCAAGGCTCATGAAAGATTTGTTCAATTTGACATCCTTAATGTCGATATTGAGTACGCTTGCCCAGATCCTGCGCAAGAGTTCCGTCGTCCCGGTCGATTGACCTGGGCTGTCTTCCTCCTCTTCTGGGGCTGGATTGATTCGGTTGAATGTTTCCTGGTCCAGGTTCTCAAGCCATTTTAGAGCTAGCTTGCGGTCCAGCTTTCCTGAAACAAGCAGAGGAATGGCTTTAACCGGTATCCAGAGCTGCGGAACCATGAATGATGGCAATTGATTTGAAAGATCATCCTTAATTTTATCAATCTTTGCATTTGCTTTATCGGCCAAAAATTTCTCTTCGAATAGATCGAGGCTTTCGGTCGACAACTCCCGACTGGAGCCCAAACCTTCCAAAGAAAGAATGGCAAGAAGCTTCTTCTTGCAAGGGCCAGCCTTTGGCATCAAAACCAGGGCATGTCGGACTTCAGTATTTGAGTCCAGGCGACTTTGGATTTCGCCGAGCTCTAACCGCTGACCGTTCACCTTGACCTGATGATCCTTGCGTCCGAAGTATTCCAGGGCGCCTTGGGATGTATATCTGACGAGATCACCAGTTTTATGAATCCGTCTGGTTACTTGAGAGGCTACTGGGAACTCGGCAGCCCATGCTGGATTCTCTGGGAAGCCTTCAGCTGTTTTATCAGGAGAATTAAGGTACTCACGGGCCAAAACAGGGCCTTCAAGTGCCAGTTCTCCTATGGCGCCCAATGGAGCCAGCTTGTTGTGATCTCTTGGATCAAGGACCCAGCCTAGTGACGATGGGAGTGGATGACCAATGGAGAGGCTGGACTTTTCGTATGAGGTCTTTGTATTGGTGACTGCAACAATGGTCGTCTCAGTTGGTCCGTAGCCGTTCATCAATTGGACCTTATCCGCCCATCTAGCGATGACCTCGCGGGACATGGCTTCACCTCCGCAGACAAGGGTTTTCAGCGATGGAGTAGCATCAGGGTCAACGACATTGGCAACCGACGGTGTCAAAAATGTCCAGGTAACGTTCATTCTGGAAATGGCGCCGGGAATATCTGCTAGGCGCTCCTTTTCGCTAGGTATGCAGATGCAGGCACCAATAGTAAGAGTAGTAAGGATTTCCAGAACTGAGGCATCGAAGGAAACGGATGCGAACTGGAACACTCGGGAATCTGGATGCATACACATGTTGGCGCTCATGGAAGCTGAGGCGCTGGCAAAGGCACGATGTTCGATAACGATTCCTTTTGCCTTTCCGGTGCTACCTGAAGTGAAGATGGCATAGGCACTGTTGTGTGGTTTTGCCCTTGATGGGAGCGAGTGCACACTCGGGAGAGACATGGCAGTGGCTTCATCGATCACTAGAGCAGTGTCCACAAAGGCTGAGAAGCGATCGAGATACCCGGGTGAGCAAATAGCCAATCTCGCACCGCTCTCCTGGACAATCTCCTGATGTCTGGAGCTAGGGTGCAAGGGGTCCAACGGCACATATGCACCTCCAGCCATTATCACAGCCATCATCGCGACTATGGTCCAAGCAGACCGATCAACACAAATAGGAACGAAGACCTCGGGGCCAACGCCGTGTCCCGAAAGAAGTTTAGCAAATCGCAGAGAAAGATCTTTGAGTTCGCGATAGGTTAGCTGTCGTTCAAAATCAACCACGGCCAGCTTGTTTCCTTGCGTATCCGCCAGTCGATTGAATATATCGTGGGCGCACTCATTAACTTGCACTGGCTTGCGTCGATTCCACCATTTGATTGTTTCCTTGTCTTCGGGACAGAGAACTTCAACTTCGCTGAGTTTGGTGGCGGGTGCCTTCTTGAACAGCTGGTCCATAACATAGCTGAACTGATCCAGGATCCGCTCGACGGTCCAGGCGCTGATGATACCCTCCTTGTGGTATATCGTGACCCCGACATCCTTCTTCGATAGTTGGCATTCGATAACAAGCGGATAGGTGAAGAAGTTATTTACGTCTCCATTCGCTTGAATTTCCCAGAGATCTTCCTGACCCTCTCCTTGGGCGGTTTGAATAACAAGGAGATTTTGGAAATCGCAGGCTTCAGATGCATCGCCGTTCAACCTTCTGATATATTGGAGACCGGCATGCTGGTGTGGAACGACGTCTGCAGAGTCTTGTTGCACCTCTTGCAAAAAATTTGCAACCGTTGCCTGAGGGTTGACTTGGATTCTGGTGGGGATAGTAGTAAGGGTTGGGCCGACAATATCGGCAATGCCAGGAACGTTGATATTGCGGCCTGTCGATATTTCACCGAAACACACATCGTTAGAGGCAGTGTGGCTAGCCAAAACCAGTGTCCAAGCCGCACGAATGATGGTCGGCAATGTAACACCTCCTACCGACGAGGTTGCAATATGACGGGAAAGAGTCCTGGTTTCTGACTGATCATTAGTCGGTGGCAGAGGCGGGAATTTGGAGCAAGATATGTCTGAAAGCTTAGCTGTCCAGAACTGTTTAGTACTATCCTCATCGGTTGTTGAAAGGTAGCTGATGAAGTCTGCATATGAGCTCTTTGGTGCCTCTGGAGTTTGTCCTCGGTAGATGGATTCGACCCGCTGAAGAATAAGGGGCAAGCTCCACCCATCATATAGGGCATGGTGGATTGACCAGGTAAAGTATCGACAGCGAGGAGTCTGGACAATAGTGTATTTGGTCAGGCTACCACCATTGAATGGAGGAACAGAGGCAGCTTCACCAGAAAGCTCCTCCAAGCTCTGTGCAGAGTGCCAGGAAATGGCTTCGTGCTTGAGAACTACCTGTAGGAAGTTTGATGAAGCTGTATGAACGATGCGAGTGCGGAGGGTCGTCAAATCATCAACAGCCTTCTGCCAGGCAGCCTTGAAATGGTCAAGGTTGAGAGAAGGGGAGAGTTTGAATACGTTATGAGCAACATAAGCGCCCGGCTGCTTCAACGACAGAGCAATGAGGCCTTCCTGGAGAGAACTGCAGGGGTAGATATCATGTACTAGGTCCGTGCTGATACGGCAGAGCTGGGAAACTTCTGTCTTGATTGCGTCAATAGATTCGTTGGTCCTAAGCAGGCTGAAGGGGTGTACTTCCATCGACGGGGCCCCTTTTAGCACAACACATGCCGATGCCATGTCAGCGAGGATAGGGTGCTTGAAAATATTTGCAAATGTAAGAGAGATTCCAGAAGAACGAGCTGATCCTGAAAGCTGCATGGCAGCTAGCGAGTCACCTCCAAGGCGGAAGAAACTGTCACCAGTACCAACAGATCCCTTAGGGAGATCCAAAACACTCTCCCAAAGAGATTGGAGCTTACCCTCGAGCCCGGTAGAAGAAACATTACGCTTCCCAGCAACACCAGTAAGGCGGAAGGATTTGATAGACTCTTTGGATAGTGCCTGAGTGATATTTCGAAGGCGATTTCTGTCCAACTTGCCAGCTGCAGACCAAGGAAGCTTCGTCATGGGGATGAAGAGGTGTGGAACCATGTATGTTGGAATTGCGGTACCGAGCTTGGTCTCGAGAGTCTTTGCAATTGTTCTAATGGCATCGTTCATAGGCAAAAGCAATTCATCAGCGGGAGAACCATCAGTGTTGGTGAGTGTTGACGGCTGGCTACGGGCAGATGGGACGCTGAAGAAAACTGCGAGAGTCTTCTTAGCTCTGTCTGATGGTACTATCAGATCAACTCCAGCTTGTGTTTGGTCGGGCAGATTCACTTTGCAGTGGTATTCAATTTCACCAAGCTCGATTCGTTGGCCGTTGAGCTTGATTTGGGTGTCCTTGCGTGAGATGTAGTTGATCGTACCGTCAGGGTTGTATCGAACAAGATCACCTGAACGGTACATGCGGTGTCTTTGAGAGAAGAGGCTTCGGAAGCGGCGCTCCCTAGAGAAGGCTGGGTTGCTGATGAAGACCTCACTCGTCTTTTCAGGATTATTGATATAGCCTCGTGCAACTGTACGGCCTTCAATAAGGAGTTCACCAACAGCACCCACGGGCATTAGACGGTTGATGTTGCGAGGATCAACGACCCAAGTTCGACATCCGCAAGCGGTTCCGATGTTAGATCGATTCTGGTCCACTGAAACACCCGCTTTGTTGACCTTCAAGCTGGCCGATGCCACGACTGAAGCCTCTGTCGGGCCATAAGCGTTGACTACCGCTGGGCCCCCAACCCATTCCTTAATGGCCTTTTCTGACATAGCTTCACCACCAGTAACAATAGTTTTCAAGGTCGGGGCCTTTTTGGGTTTCAAGGTGCTAAGCACTGAAGGGGTTAGAAGTGTCCAATTCACTTTACCCTTTGCAATAACATCCTGTAGGTCGTTCATTCGTTCCTCGTCGCTGGGAACGTATATGGTTGCACCAACCTGGAGCGCAGTAAGTATCTCAGTGACACTGGCATCAAAGGTGTAAGATGCAAATTGTAGGACACGACTAGAGCTGTCCATCAAAAGAGCTTTGCCATGAGCATCTGATCCAGTACAAATAGCAGCATGCTCGATAACGGTTCCCTTTGGTTTACCTGTGGTTCCAGAGGTAAAAATAATGTATGCAGCATTGGATGGGTCCGGGTAGTTGTCTGGTTGCTGTGAAGGCTGCTTTGGGAATTGTTGAACCGTCTTTGAGTCCAAGACAACTGCCTTCTTAGCAATCTTTCTAATTTTATCGTGAAGACGTGAAGAACATAAAACGACGTCAGCACCAACATCTTCTATCAGGTTCGCCAATCGCTGTTCCGGATGAGAAGGATCGAGTGAAACAAAGGCACCGCCAGCCTTGAGAATACCATACTGGGCCACAATTGCCCATGCGGATTTCTCAAAACACAAAGGTACATAAACGTCGGGGCCAACTCCAAGATTCATCAGCTGTGCAGCGACACGAGATGCGGCAGCATCCAGCTCTGAATAAGTGAAAGTTGCATCCCATGCACAGATTGCAAGAGCCGAACGTGGTCGGAGCATGGCTTGCTCCTCGATGATTTCATGGACACACTTGTCAACCACCTTGGGGCTCTGAGCATTCCAGGAACGGACTTGCTGGTAGCTATGCTCACTGAAGTGGTTAACATCTCCAAGCGGTCTATCAACGCCATTTTCAATAATGTCGCTAAGGATTTGTTTGAATGTATTGGCAATGTTCTCGGCATGGGCATCAGATACAGTATCTGACCAATAACCAAAATCAATTTCAAGATCGGAGTCTATGGCAGCAATGTTGATGGACATGTTAAACTCGTTAGGATCAGTGGCCCCAATCGACTCAAATGAAAGGGGTGTGTCTTCTGTATCATCAGAGCTTGGTCGCTTCTGGAATGTAAAGACAGTGTTAAACAACGCAGTGTCTCCTAAGCCTAGCTCATGCTGCACCTCTGCTAGAGAGCAGTTTTGGTAGCTGATACTCTGCATATAATCAGATTGGGTCTTTTGGAGGGTATCAATGAGAACAGAGTTGTCCGTCAAGTTTAGGCGGCATATCAGCATGTTAATGAAAGCACCAACAGCTTCATAAATCCCGTCTATTGGTAGATCACGTCCGGAAGCGACGTATCCAAAGCAGACTTCATCGGAGCCGGTATAGGCGCGGAGTACAAGTCCCCAAACCAGCTGAAGGACATTCGACTGAGTAAGCCCTTCCTGCTTACAGAAGGATTGCAGCTCAGATCCTATGGGGAGCTTCATAACATATTCCCCTACTGTTCTCTCCTTTGGTGGTGGAACTGGAGCCAGTGAAGGCAGTGTACATGGTTCAAGGCCACTAAGGTATGTTTTCCAGTATGCAACACCAGCTTCCTTGGAGGTTAATTGGAGATGGGCAATGAAGTCGCTGTACAGCATTGCGGTACCCAGGTCTGAAGTGGAGGCATATGCAGCGGACAAATCGTTCAGCATATTCATCATCGAAGAGCCGTCGGAGACTGCATGGCTGATCTCGAGTTTACAGACAACTCGTCCACTAGGCGTTTGACAGAGCGTCATACGATGTGGTGGTTGCTTCTCAGTGTAATCCAGCGGCTCAAGGTTCTCAATAGCAGCCTTGTAGTCTTCACTCGAAGGCTCTCGCAGAAGGGTTCGTGCGCGGAACTCCTTCAAAACCACTTGGTCCATCAGATTGTTGCCAGAGACACTGTCGATGAATACAGTTCGGAGGGCACTATGGCGGCGAACGACGGCCTGCCAGGCTGCTTCCAGTAGCTCAAGGTTGATACGGTGGCCTCTCTTATTTGATTTCACCTCAAAAACAGAATGATATGCATATTTCTCGGGGTCCTTCAGCTGGCTGATAAGGATGCCACGTTGCATTGGGGAAATCATATAGGCATCCTCGATATCGTTCATAGATTGAACGCCCAGGGAAGGAAGCTCTTCGGAAATTTTCCTTGAACTGCCAAAAGCCAGGGGTAAACGTGGGAATTGGGCATGTGTGAAGGATTGCATTTGTGACGACTGGTAAGTACTCTCAAGCAGAGTTTGGCACTTTGAGAACCAACCTTGAATGCCTTGTTGTCGATGCATATTCTTATTGTAAGTGAAGGACAATTTCAAGATTCCTTGTTCTATAACCGTCGATATTTCAATAAGCGCGAAACGAGGGACATTGGAGCCAATATCGGAAAGGGAATTGACTGATTGCCCACCCGCTCCGTCAACCGGTTCCAGGAGAGACTCCGTCTGGCTGTTTGCTTGCATCTGTCCCAAGTAGTTGAATGCAATTTCCATCGGCCAGTGGCTTCCAAATGCTTCTTTCCCGGCTTCGGTCAGCTGGCGGCAAGCAAAATATGGCCTGCCCTTCCCAGGAGTCCTGGATCGGAAGTCCTGAACCCATCGAATGGTATCGATAAACGAATAGTCTATGCAAATATGATTAGAGCCAGTAAAATGGAGGACTACATATAATAAATGATATCAAGACTTACTAGAATCAGTGTCAGCATCAGCTGGAAGGTATACAGGACTCATGGTAGTGAACCATCCAACTATAGATGATGGGTCACAGCTGGAGTCCCAAGGCTCTCTACCATGGCCTTCGTTAAAGACCGCAGGTGGCACGCGACGATCAGTAAATTCTTGACGGAAGGAGAGAAGAATAGTTGCAAGAAGAACATCAATCAGATCAGCCCCAAGTTGTCTCTGGCAAGCGTCGAGAATGCGGGTCGTGGTTAATTGATCTAATTTGAATTCGTCGGTTAGAACTTCACCGAAGGTGTTGGACTTTCCAGCCATCCCCCAGTAAGTAAGGTCTGCTGGTGGGACAGCAGTTGCAGGAATGACACCTTTAACACTGGCTTCTTGAGCATTTTGTATCTGCAATTCGCACCAGGATTGGAAGGTCAGGTCTTGTCGAGCAACTGATTCACCATTGAGTAGGTCTTCGAGGTCTTGGAGGACAATTCTCCATGAGACCACATCAATGACAAGGTGATGAATTGCTATCGACATCTGAGTCTCAGACCCAGGCAGAGAGAAGATGTCAACCGCAACTAGGGGTCCATTTTCAATGTCTAAAGCCTTCTGGCTTTGTTCAATCAAAGAACCCATCTGGCCTCGTCGTGCATCAGAATGAGTTCGCAATCTAAGCGATCCCTTCAAGTCATTGCTGATGTGCTGACGCCACTCTCCATTCATATTTTTCTGGAATCGAGCATGTAGCATGGGGTGAAGAGTTATCAGCTGGTCGATAGCTCGGGAAATAACATCAGTACTCTTCCTCTTGGTAACCTTCAGCAAAACGCTCTGGTTAAATTGCCTCCAATTGTCTCCAGCATTGTCAAGGTAGACCTGCTGGATGGGAGAAAGCCTAAACGGCTTTCCGTTCTCAACTGTTTTTATTTCTTTCACAGGTGCGCTCGCAAGCGATTTTGTCACCTTAACCCGAGTTGCTAAGTCCGTAATTGATTTACTCTGCATGATATCCTGCACACTTGCAGTAATACCCTGAGAGCGGCACCTGGCCATGACTTGCATGGCAGAAATACTGTCACCGCCCTAATATTGAGTTAGTACAACTACTTACTGCGAATTTTCAAGAGAAATATACATACCAAATGAAGGAATGAGGAGTTCATATCAGCTTCTTCCACTGGTAAGTCGAGTATCTGACTCCAGACCTTCCAGAGGCTTTCACGAATATCAATTTGAGGAGCGGTTTGGACCGCTTTGGTTGAATGGGTATCAGGAGAGTCAGGGGTGGTCGTGGAAGTAGCTTCTGGGCTGTCCTCCATTTTCTCCATAAATGTAACGATCTGTCTCCTGTTGAGTTTTCCGGAAGACATCAATGGAAGTTTGTGGAAAACAACCCATCTAGAGGGAACCATGTAGCCGGGAAGCCTCTTTCGCAGTCGCTCACGAGCTTCCGATGCCATTTGTATAGCCCTTTCGGAGCTGATGACCTGCAGAGGAGTAGCAGCATCCACGGAAGAAGTAAGGCTATGGAATGTTACTGCAGCCGTGAGTTTCTTAGCAGCGAAACCCTTCGACGGAACTGCCACGAGGGCGTGCTGGATGAGATTATCGGCACCAAGGTGATGCTCAACTTCGTCAAGTTCCAGCCGTTGACCGCGAACTTTAGCTTGGGTATCTTTACGGCCCATGAAAACGAGATTCATAGAGCCATTCGGATCGTACTTAACAAGGTCACCAGTCTTATACATTCTCCGTGCGGCACCATTATTTTGCTTTGCCCATTTTGGATTTTGAATAAACACCTCCTTCGTCTTATCATCTCTTTTGAGGTAGCCTCTTGAAAGAGTAGCACCTTCTATCAATAGCTCTCCAACGGCTCCAATTGGCACCAGCCTATCATGGTTAACAGGGTCAACAATCCAGCACCGGTCGAGTGGGCGGCCAATGTTTTTGTGATTGCTATTAACGTCCATCTTACTATTGATGACCGCTGAAACTGAGCATTCACTGGGCCCGTATCCATTTAGTAAATTCAATCTGCCAGCCCAATTTGCTACATGTGCAGATGACATGGCCTCTCCAACAAGTGCAAGGTATTTCAGGTTTGGAACGTCGTCTGGATTCATCAGTTGGACGAAGGATGGGGTTAAGGTGGCATTTGACACGAGTTTGTCCCGGATATAGTTGCTGATATCGTTAAGTCGTTCCCAGTCGCTTGGAACGCAAACGCACCCACCAACAATAAGAGTTGTTAGGATCTCAGGGCAGCAAGCATCAAAAGTATACGATGCAAATTGAAGAGTGCGGGACTCTGCTGTAATTCCCAACGCTGGTGCGTGGGCAGCAGCAGAGGAGCAGTATGCGGAATGTTCAACTATATACCTGTTAGACATATCAAAGCTACTAGAATTGGTAACATGAAAGACTTACTTAAAGTCCCTTTGGGTGTTCCTGTGGTCCCAGATGTAAAGATTATATAGGCCGCGTTGCTGGCAGGGACCTTAGGAGTTGGCTGATGACGCTTTGGCAGTTGCTGAAGCATCTCAAGATCGATTGCCAGTGCTTGCGGTGCAACAGAATCACACAGTTCTTGGTGCTTTGGCGAACAAAGAATAAGGAATGCCTCCACATCAGCGATAATGCCTTGGAGTCGGGAAATTGGGTGCTCAGGATCGATAGTGACGAACGCTCCGCCAGCTTTAAAAATTGCCAGCATCGAAATGATTGCGAATGCTGACTTCTCGAAGCAAATAGGGACAAAAACCTCAGGGTTTGACCCTACACCTAACTCAATGAGGTGATGTGCGAGGGCAGTTGACAGATTGTCAAGCTCCCTATAGGTGAATGATCCGTCCCAGGAGCAGATAGCCTCTGCTTGCGGCCGTAGTTTGGCCTGCTCTTGAATAAGCTCATGAATGCATCGCTCAATGAATTTTGCACCGTTCTTGTTGATAGCTTCAAGCTCCTTCACTTCATCATGGCTGACCAGTTCAATCTCTCCGACCTTCTTTTGGGCATTCTCGCCTAGGGATAAATTGCGGAGAATGGTATCAAACTGTCGCAGCAGTCTCTCTACCTGCCAAGAAGAAATAACAGCCTGATCATAGTAAGCCTCGATATCAATCCTGTTAGATTGACGCAAAGTGCATGAAAGATTAAGGGGGTATGTATAAAAATTGTTTCCAGTGGTTCCAGAGCTTATCATCTGCCAAAATCCAAAAGCGCTTTCATCCGCATCTTGTGTAATGGCAATAGCATTCTGGAATTCGCAGGAGGTCGAAGCATCGTCTCCGAGTCGTTTAATCTGAGACAAGCCTGCAAATTGATAGGCCATGGTTTCTGCCAACTGCTTCTGGACATCGTGTAAATATTCGGAGACTGTTTGCTCACGATTTACCTGAATTCTCGAAGGGATGGAGGTAAGGGTGGGCCCAATCATATCCTCAATACCAGGAACTGGGGCATCACGCCCGGTAAGAATTTCACCAAATATAACATCATCGCAGGAGGTATAGAATGCCATCGTGAGACCCCAGGCAGCGCGAATAATGGAAGCGACAGTGGTTTCTCTTGAGGGGGACTTCGAAACTTCAGCAGAATGAGTGCACTTGCTTGTAGCTTGGACTGTATATGAAGTGGATGGGAGCGCAGGGAAAGGTGTCGCCTTTGGATCTTCTAACTTAGAAATCCAGAAGTCATCAGACGCCTTTTTATCAATAGTTGCCAGGTACTTAATGAAATCTGGGAAGGAGGCTTCAGCGCCTGTGCTGGGAGACTGTGAGTTCTTGTAGCAATAGGCCACTCTTTCAAGAAGCGTGGGGATACTCCAACCATCATACAATGCGTGGTGTGCGGTCCAGACGAAGTATGGAGTGGAGGCCCCTTCTCCAACGATGGTGTATTTCACAAGGGGGCCACCGTCACGACCAGGAAGGTGACGGTTTTCGTCTTTGATGTCGTTTAAATGAGCAACAGAGTTCCACTCAATGGGCTCATTAACAACAACTTGCAAGAATCCAAGCAAATCCGTGAAAACAACCCTAGTACGCAGAACAACCTCTGAATCAGCTACAGCTTGCCAGGATGCTCTGAACTTGTCAAAATCAATGTCCGCGGGTAGCTTGAAGGTAGTTTGAGCGACATAGGAACCAGGAGTTTTGCTGGAAAGCGCAACAAGTCCACCTTGCAGTGAAGTGCATGGGTACATATCTTGGATTCTGGAAGCATCGACATTGCAGATTGAAGAGACTTCATCTATGAGGGCATTTATGGAGATGCTAGGTGGAAGAAGTTCAAAACGCTTCACAGGCTCCTTTGTGATAGGGTCCGCTCCGAGAGATCTGTTAGAAGAGATTGAGCAGGTACTGGCCATATCACAGAGCTTCGGAGAAGAAAAGATCTTAGCGACACTGAGAGTGACTCCCTTGGCTCTAGCCGCTGAAACTAATTTCATAGCTCCGATTGAGTCACCTCCATGGCGGAAGAAGCTGTCATCAGCACCAATGGAGGTGGCAGGCTTTGACAAGACGGATGCCCAAAGCCCCTGTAAGATTTTCTCCGCTTCCGTTTCAGGGGCTCGTCCACCTACACCGCCTAGTCTATATGTGATTGCAGCATCATCTGACAGCTCCTTGACCCAGATAGTCAAGGTACGTCGGTCCAGTTTTCCTGAAGAGGTCATTGGCATTCTCGCAACTGGAATATAGCTTGAAGGTACCATGTAGGCAGGTAGCGATTTTGTCACAGCGGCTTCCAGCTCTTTGGCCAATGACTGGATTGAAGGGGTCATTGGGAGGATTGTCTGATTGGTATCAGCATCACCAGATGGCTGGAGATAAATGAAGGCAGCGAGTGACTTAGCACCACCGAGAACGACAAGCTGTACTGCGGACTGGGCATCCTCTGGAAGATTTTCCTTGACATGGTACTCAATTTCACCAAGTTCAATTCGCTGTCCATTGAACTTAACCTGGGTATCTTTCCTACCAAGGAATGCCATTGTCCCATCACTATTATAGCGAACAAGGTCACCAGTTTTATACATACGTCGGGTAGGGAACTCGCGAGGGTTGGGATCACGAGCTGCCCAAGCTGGGTTTATGACGAAAGATTTCGCCGTCTTCTCCTCATCATTAAGATAGCCACGGGCAACGATTGGGCCTTCTACACACAATTCACCCACACAACCGACCGGAACAAGCTTGTTGTGATCCGTTGGGTCAACAACCCAGGAAACACTTCCGACACTGCGGCCGATATTAGAGACATCTTCGACGGTGCCAGCATCCCCGTTATGGGCGCAGTTAATGGAGCATTCCGAGGGACCGTATTGATTGTGCATGGGAATTGAACCTCCCCAAATTTCCTGGGCTTTCTTAGTTAAAGCTTCACCACCAACAGCCATAGCCTTGATCTTAGGTACATCAGCCGGTTTCAGGAAAGTGGCAACGGTAGGTGTCAGGTCCATGAAGTTAGCATCAAGCCTATCAATCGCACCAGCCAGATCATTGAAACGATCATCTTCTGAAGGAACACAGACACATCCACCACGCATGAGAGTGGTGAACATCTCCTCAAGACTGTTGTCAAATGTATAAGTGGCGAATTGGAGGAATCTTGTATCGGGGCCGACACCCAAAGCAGACCCGTGAGCTTCGGCGCTAGTAACCATTGCACTGTGCTCAAGTACCACACCCTTTGGCTTTCCGGTACTTCCAGAGGTAAATATCACGAATGCAGGGTTGCATGGCTCAGCAGGGATACCATTGTCCTCGCCATAGTCAGGCAGCTGTTCGAGAAATTCTGCGTCAACTGCAACGACATATGGGACCATATCATCAAACATAGCAGCTCTGGCAGCAGATGCAACGACGATTTGAGCCTCAGTGTCAACTACCCTGGTTTCCAGTGCAGGCATAGGGTGGGTAGCATCAAGAGGAACACAGGCACCACCAGCCTTCAGAACGGCCAGCATAGATACAACAGTGTAAGCAGATTTGTCAAAGCACGTCGGCACAAAGGTTTCCGGGGTGACGCCTAGAGCAACAAGGTATGAAGCTAAACGGGTAGAGACTTCATCAAGTTCCTTGTAAGTATAACTGGCGTCAAATCCACAAATAGCCGGGGCGTCGGGTCGTTGGGCGGTTTGTTTGGCAATTACATAGTGAACACAGTCGGGAATTGTCAATGGAATGCGACTATTCCACTTCCAGATCGTCTCATAATCCAGGTTGCTAAGGTTGTCCAATTTGGAAATCTCAAGGTGAGAACTGTGAGTGATATTCTCTAGACAGCGGAAAAATGAAGAAGCAACATTTTTGGCCTGTTTGTCACAAACTGAATCCGTCCAATAGTCAAGGTCGATTGCGACGACCTCATCCGAAGCCTCAATGTTGATAGAGATTGGGTACTCATCAGGGTCGTGTGTCGGGGCAAACTCCTCGAAGGCTATTTCTGGCTTCCTGTTCTTATTTGGAGGAAGTTTGCGGTAAGAAACACAAGTATTAAAAAGTGAAGTATCGGATAGTTTCAGTGCATGTTGGACTTCTGCCAAAGAGGTATGCTTATGAGGCAAACTGTCCATATAGTCCTTTTGGACTTGTTCTAGAACACTCAGGAGCGTTGCATCTCCGGGCATCTTGACGCGGCAAACGAGCATATTAATGAACGGCCCCACGGCAGAATCTGCACCCTCAACTGGTGCGTCACGCCCTGAGGAGAGATAGCCAAAGCAGGTATCTTCGGTTCCTACAAATGCCCGAAGTGTCAAAGCCCAGGCAGTGTGGATGGCGTTTGGCAAGGTAAGCCCCTGGGAGTCACAGAACTTCTGGAGAGTAGCTAGTTCCTTAAACTCAAGTTTAATGTTATGAAGTTCCTTCTTAACAGTGACACCATCATTCAGAACAGGGAAATGGCAGGGGTCAAGTCCATCAAGATAAGGCTTCCAAAATGAAAGACCTTGATCCAATGACTGTGTCTGTAAGTAGGCAACATAGGCACTAAAAAGGGGGCCGGTCTCGTCTTTGAGTTCCCCAGCATAAGCACGACATAGGTCATCGAAAATGATAGACATTGATGCTCCATCCATGACGGCATGGCTCAGTTCCAACCGACAGAATACCTTTCCATTTGAGGTCTCACATATGGTGAACCGATTGGCAGGGGTATGATCAGTATATTGCATAAATCCTTGGCCGTTGAAAGTTGAAAGAACCTCAGACTCCTTCGCACAGCGAAGTCGTGAAGGACCAAAGGGTGATTGTCTCAGCACAACCTGATCATAAAGACCATCACTGCTTAGACCTTCAATGAAAACAGTCCGGAGGCAAGGATGACGCCGCACAATCAGTTCCCAGGCAGCCGCAAGCTTTTCGGCACTAACATTGGTACCAGGCTTTGGTTTCACTTCATAAGTACCATTGACTGCATAGAAGGCGCCATCTTTGCTGCGACTAAGGAGAAGGCCTTGCTGCATAGGAGAGCAGGGATAAGCATCTTCGATATCCTGCACATTCTTGGCCCCGACGAGTGGAAGCTTTTCAGTGATCATAGCCTCTAGAGTGTCATAGTTCAATGCTAAGAGTGGATAATCGCTAAGTGTAGGTGTGAAGGGCAGTCCCATGAATAACTTTGAGGCATTTTGCAGGGAGCCCTTACAGTAGGCAATCCACTGTCGAATGAGGTTCTGGTGCTTCATGTGTCGGTTGAATGTAAAGGAGAACCTGAGTTTACCTGCAGCAATAACCGCAGATATCTCGAAAAGACCAAATCGCGGGGTTCCAATACCATAATCGGCGATGCCACCAGCTTCCTTGGCTTCACCAGCTAACTCATCGACGGGATTGAGAAGCGCGCCTTCTCGCTCAAGCTGCTGGTACTGCCCAAGGTAGTTAAATGACAACTCCATTGGAGCGTGATGGCTCCAAGCTTCACGGCCTTTTTCAGTCAACCAACGGGTAGCAAAATATGGTCGGCCATTGCCAGGAACTGCACGGCGAATGTCCTTGACATGTTTAGTAATGTCTACCAGGCCTTTAGATGTAGAGTTAGGAACAAAGATCGGGTAAACAGTGGTGAACCACCCAATTGTTCTAGCGATATCGATTGATTCATCCCATATTTCACGGCCGTGGCCCTCATTGAATATGGCAGGGGGGTCACGATCTGTGAAAACCTGGGTAAAGGAGTGGATAAGAACAGACACGAAGAGGTCAACAGGTTCTGTGCGAAGCCCGTTATGGCAGTCCGTGAGAAGGAAAGAGGTGGTGGCAGCATCAATTTCAAATCCTTCAGCAGCAGAAGCGCCGTAGGTATTAGCTTTGACATCAGTGCCCCAGTAGGCGAAGTTAGCACGGGGTATATTATCATTTGGTAGAACATGCGAAAGACTGAGATCCCGGCAGTGTTCTGTCTGAAGTTTAGCCCATGTTTGGAAGGGAATTGATTTGTCGTTAAGAGAAGGATTGGTAGGGTTAACAAGAAGCTCCTCGAGATCTTCCAGGATCACACGCCATGAAACCAAATCAATGACCAAATGGTGACCTGTCATAAATAGAAGTTGATGGTCAGAATTCACATCAAACAAGTCAACAGCGAATAGAGGTCCCTTGGTAGCACTGAGAGAGGCCTGGCTATCAGCAATTGCGGGCTCAGCATCCTTCTTCGTTTGAACACTGTGAACTCTGAACCGGCACGAAGCTTTATAGTCGTTAGTGATATATTGCCTCCATTCACCGTTAGGTCCAGACTGTCTAAAACGAGACCGCAACATAGAATGTCGCTCAACAAGTGTATCAACAGCGTGTTTGAGGGACTTCTCGCTAGTCCTCCTCGCCAATTTGAGGAAGAAACTCTGGTTGAAGTGGCCCATTTCATCATTTCTGACGGTAAAGTGGAACTGCTGGATAGGCTGAAGTTCAAAGTCAACATCAATCTCTTCTTTGAGATCAACTGCTCGCTTGACTTCCTTTGCACAGGGAGCCAACGCACGGATAGACTTGCTCCGCAATATCTCTTGGACAGTAAAGCCAAGTCCTGCCTTTTTGCACTGGCCCATACATGTCATGGCGGTAATGGAGTCACCGCCAAGGCTAAGAAAGCTCTGCTCCAAGCTGATACGGTTTAGTGGAATGTTCAGGATGCGGCTCCAAGCAAGCTGGATCGCAGCTTCAGCTGCATTGGCAGGCTTGGACATCTCGCTGCTACCAGCTTCCACTTGCTGCGCTCCGGATACTTCATGGTAGACCTCTTCGGTCATGGTATCTATCCACTTTGCGACCGCTTTTCGATCGAGCTTTGCTGAAGGTAGCCGAGGAAGAGACTCCATGCAGACCCAGATGGAGGGAACCATGTAAGATGGCAGCTGGCCAGCCATGGTCTCACGAACCATGTCAACATACTCATCTCTCTTCTTTGTCTCAATAAGTCGAAGCGACTTTGGGTCATTGGAAAACTTCTCCGTGACATGGTCGGAGAACGAGAGAATAGCGACCAATTTGCCTTTACAGTTGCCGGCCTTTGGGAGCAGCACCAGGCCATGCTTCACATTTGGTGCGAGGTTAAGTTTATGCTCGATTTCGCCCAACTCAACTCGTTGGCCGTGGAATTTGACCTGGGTATCCTTTCGACCGACATAGTTAAAAGAACCTTCAGGGGAATTATACCGAACCAGATCGCCAGTCTTGTAGAATCGCCGTGGTTTGCCTCCGGTTTCGCTTGTACGAGCCCAAACGGGGTCGTAAATGAACGCATCTGTAGTTTTCTGGGGATTGTTGATGTAGCCCCTGGCTAAAGTGGGTCCCTCAACTAGTAGCTCTCCAACACATCCAGGGGGAACAAGCCGATCGTGATCTTCGGGGTTAACAACCCAAGCATGTCCACCAACAGGGAAACCGATATCCTTTGGATCGGTTGTTGAAGTCACCTTCGAGTTCACAGCGCAGGCAACACCCGTCTCTGTAGGACCAAAACCGTTAATGAGGTTAACCTTTGACCAGGTGTCGATATGGCTCTGGGACATAGCCTCGCCAGCGAGGACGAGATACTCTAGACAGGGAACATCATCCGGTTCGATAAAGCCCACAAAAGAAGGTGTTAGCGTCGCGACAGTGACGCGCATGTCGTTTATCGATTGCACGATGTTATTCAGTCGTGCCTCCTCGCTAGGGATGCAGACACACGCCCCTTGCATTAAGGGGGTGAGGATCTCGACCAAGCTAGCGTCGAAAGTATGTGCCGCAAATTGCAAATTTCGAGACCCCTCGTCGACATGAAGGGGAACGCAGTGAGCAGCGGCGCTCGAACAAAAGGCAACATGCTCCAATAGTGTGCCCTGAACTCCATGTCAGCATTCGATCACATCTGTCATCTCAACTGTCACATCTGTCTCGGAAACTACGTGACCATTCAGAATAGTTTGCGCAACACTGACCTTTGGTTCTCCGGTGGAGCCCGAAGTGAAGATAACATAAGCGGCGTTATTGGGCTTGGCGCGGCTAGTGAAGCGGATAGCGTCAGGGCCCGACGGCAACTCCTTAACCAATGCATCGTCGACAGGCAGGATTGTCTCTGCGACAGTGGCAAGGTGCTGTGAATGGTGAGCGGAGCAGAGGAGTAGCGATGCGTCGAGCGCTTTGACTAGGCCTTGCAATCGCGGTATCGGATGCGAAGGATCAAAGGGGACAAAAGCTCCACCGGCTTTCATAACAGCAATCATTGAAACCACATTCCATTTCTATGGGACAGACAGTTTGTTAGCGTGCGGTAGGCAGCGGCGGTTTATTTGCAATTTACCAATAAACCAGGAACAAAACCAAACAAGAGAAAAAAAGAAAGAAAGAAAAGTGTACATACCGACTTGTCAAAGCAAAGAGGAACCCTGACTTCCGGCCCAACGCCCAATTCCACTAACTTGTGCGAGAGCCGTGAAGTAAGATGATCTAGCTCTTTGAACGAAAGGCTTCCGTCCCAAGCGCAAATAGCTTCATCGTCCGGCAGGCGGATGGCTGCATCATGGATAACTTCATGAATACAGCGGTTGACGGTCTTCAGAGGATAATCGTTCCATCTCATGATTTGCTTGAGGTGAAGAGGCGTAAGCG